TTTTTTTTTTAAATTTTCTTATTGTTAAGGGATTATTTTTTGTTTCTTTTTTTTTTTAAACCATATAGAGTAAGTTTTTGGACATATGTGGCCTTGATGGACCCTGAAAATTTAAGAGAGCTTTTTAGCTCATAGTTACTTACTTAGTTTTATCAACCTTCTTGGAGGGGTGAAAGGGAATTTTTTTGGTTAATAAGATGTAACACGTCAATTTCCTCGACCGGATTTTTTGCCCGAAAATGTTTTTGAGGGTTTTTGTAGTTTATTATAACTACGTAGCTCTTTAAGGTAAGGGAACTAAATAACATGCGCCAAAAGCATTTTCCATGCATTTTGAGCGTTCACCACGTTAGTAGTGTACGCTCTTTCCCGTCGTTTTGCATCGGGTATGTTACTGATGTATCCATTGGTAAAGGCCCGCACTGCTCCATGGGAATCGGCGCCATTTTTCGTGGCGGGAAGCAATACCTAGTTTCTCAATTTTTTTAAGTATCATTTCTACCTTTTTTTTCTCCTATTTTGTCCACTTTATGTAATGCCTGTAGGCTTGTCTTTGAGAAATTAATATCTTTACGTTTTAAAACTCTGCAACGTACTTTTATTTAATGACTCTTTCAAGGATCGTTCAAATTTTTTGTCGTCGTAGTTCTAGAAAAATCTTTGGGTACAAAGTTCCCTATATTTTACTCTATGATGACAAGACATTTCTTGTATATATGTATGTTTCCTAGGTTACGCTTCACGTTTAGTTCAACAGCGTCTTGCAGCGCTCTCTTCCGTCCGCGCAAAACCACTTTTACATATTGACGAGGTGCTACGGTGAACGCTCCCCAACGTCTTAACGTTAGAACCGTCGTCTTGTTTTTCTTTCTTTCCATCGAAGGTCGGAACTAGAAAAAAAGTTTTCACGTATTCCTCTTCAAAATTTTATGTAGAAGACAATTTACAGAACAAGGAGGTTGGAAATCAACTCCTGGAAGGTATACTAATGTGAGCTTTTAACATAGATCGAATGGAAGTTTAGTCATTTGTATTTGTACCACTCAACCAATGTTAATTATTAGCGGCGGTAGCCACATCCGGGCAAGTCACCTATCCTCCACCAATAGGCAACACGGCACAGCTCGGTTGATTCTATACACTTAAATCATTATCAAGGGTTGATATACAGAATATCGACGGTGTAAGTCGGCAATCACATAACTCGGTTTGCGACGTCGCAGACTTCCTGTTATACTTTATTTTTTAAACGGAAAACTACTCAACGGCGATTCTTTAAAACTGCGGTGATTTTTCTTCTCTGTGTGAAGAATATTCTGCAAACACTTCAAGGAATGATGTCAATTTGTTCTCCTTTAAAAAAATTACATAGAGGCGGAGATTTTCAGACACCGCAATTAACGAGTTAAGTGATTGCCGACTTACACCGTCGATATACGTTTTGTTATATGTTTTCCTTGTACAATTTTTCCTAGAAGCATGTTGCGCAGTGCACTATTCATACCTCTCCCAGAGGCAGAGGCCCATTGGGCAAAAAGTCACAAAGATGATATGATTTGCGTCACTGGTTGAAAAGTCGCTCACCAGCTTTCACTGTGAGAGACGCGAACAACTAGAATACACGCAGCAAAAAATATGTGCCCGTTGGGAGAGAGGTCTGAACCGCCGAGGCAAAGATTCGGGTTCATTGTCGAGTTGGGTCGAAAAATCGGATTTTGAGATTTCAGGTCCAATTCAAAATGATTTCTTTCCGTCGGGCTTTTATGTTTTTTCATTTCAACAAATCTCTTATACAAAATGCTAGGTACAACATAAAACAATTAAAATAAAGTTTTTAAATATTTTTTTATAAGAGACGAAATCCATCAAAAAAAAAGAAAAGAAGACAGAAAAAAAAGAAGAAGAAGAAAAGAGGAGCCCGATGTAACATTCATAGCTTGAAATGTTTCATAATCTTTAAATTAAGGAGGAAAATCGCCAAACTTCTCGGAAAGAACGTTTAATATTTTTTCATGTAGGAAATGGACTACATTTTGCGATTTGGAACTGTGAATTATAGCCCGGTTTATAATAGACGTATGCGCCATTAGTTTCCCTGTGCACTTACGTGTTTTTTCACATGAGCCAGATTTTATAGTTCCAAATTGCAAAATGCAGTCCAAATAACGCACGAAAGCAAGTCTGCAACGCCGCAAACCGTCATGCGCATTTCAGAAGTTTTATCATTGATACCTACTTTAAAGAGAAGTCTGATGGAGAGGTGGAACCCTAGTTTTTTTTCCATGGAGGTTTTCCCCATCAATGGAAATTTTTGTTCTCACCATCAATACATTGTTTTTAGTCAGGAGCACACGTGGACGTCATGTGCTACGCCAAGTGGCCTTTGAATCAATAGGAGAGCATTTTTAATTTTTCTTCGTTTCTAAAAATACATTTTTACCCACTGAAATTGCGGTTTCCTCCATTTTGATTTTACGCTTGTGCACGCAGTGATACTTTGGTTGAGAGGTGACTGCCTCAGTGTCCTCGAAATGTGCTCTGGAAGTCATGTCTTTGGTTTCATTCTTTCGTTAATCTACCATGCAAGCAACAAAGGAAAATCTTCAAGCACTTCAGATTTTCGCCTTCCTTCAGATTCTTTCCTACAGGTAAAATAATTTAAATTTTTACCTAGTAAATTAGCGAAATTCTTGTATTTCCAGCAAATACTATTCAAATCCACCATCCACATTACGTGAGAATTTACCATTGCATGTTTTGTAAAAAAAAAATGTTTCTCCAACTCGAGAAACTTTTTTTTTTCCCCCCCACTTCATGCCTAATTTTGCCGCTCACTTTTGGATTAAACTAGAATGCACGATTTTTTTATTTTTTTTTCTCGTGAAACTTGTGAAAAATTTATTTTTGTAAGTTTAAAATTAATATAAGCCTTAGGGCTTTAGCAAAATTTTAGCCGTTGTATTATTTTACTTGATGTTAATCAACAATTTCAAAATAAAGCACACGCTAGAAAAAAATTTTCAATTCGATACACATGCAGCGGACAACGTTCAGTGCGCGATTTTGTTTGAACTATTCGGTTTATCAAACGGAACATTCATTTTTTGGCACCGAACGAATCAACTCAGTTCAGCTTGACGATAATAATGGTATTAAATCCAGAGCGATGTCCGGCTCGAATGACTGAACTTTTGACAGTTTGATTGTTCTATATTTAAATACGAAGTATACCTACTTTTCAGGGGAGCAGCATCTTTCGATGAAAAGTCTGAAACAGTCATTTTCAGTGAAAGTATTGAGTCCGTCACAGGGCGTCCACTAGAATATGAAAGAAAGGCATCTCTTCCTCAAGGACACTCATTTTTGTCTTCCTCGCAATTTGCTAACCCTACAGATCGAGATAAAAAAAACGAAAATCAAGTTGATTCGGCTAGCCGCATTAGAATACTCACGCCTGATGAATTGGAACACGAGAATACTGAACTCCAAATCGGAAGTAAGAAAAATAAATTTCCTTTACAACCCATGGAGGAAGAGAGGGATGCTGGATTAGGTGACTTTAGTTTATTGCCGTTCCGCCTCACACCTAAAAAACTGGCGGAGACTGAGATTGATTCTCGCTTGCCACGTGAGTCATTTTCACTTCTTGAAGAAGGGAAAATCACTAGCAGTCTAAGTGGTGAGGATGACTCAACTTCTTTCCGTGGTAAAGGAGAGGATGGCCATGACTTGGATCAAGGATTGAGTGACTATACCCCACCCACCAATAGAGAAGCAAAAGGAGACGGGTCCGTTTTTCAGGATGTTGGATCTTTGACTTTTGGAGATCAACGACTGGTGCCACGTAATTGTTGGCCCTTTGGCTGTCATGATACCTTCTCTAAGCAGGCCCTCGAGTCTCACAATTACTATAGGAGAAAACATCAGGCAGAGGATCTAAGACTTAGCCACCGGGTAAGTTGCATGCACTGGAGCCTCAAATTTATAAGGGGCCGTTCAAGTATAGTATTACGTAAGGCATTTTTGCCAACTTTTTTAATGCGATAATATCTCGACATGTTGTCACCGATATAATCGCGATAACCAACCGATAAAATCACTATTTATCACGATCACTGCTATTTGGGACCTACCTCATGTGCAAACGTGCTCATTTTTACCACGCTGTAGGGTTTAAGAGAAAACGAAAATGTAAGTCCGTGAAAAAGTAAAAACAATCCATTTTTCAGGTACAAAAGTTGTGAAACTGATTGAAGACTCTTTACCTTGCTTCTCGACGTAGTCACCCACTCGATCCGAGCATTTTTAAAAACGGTGCAGCGACTTTTTTAACCCAGTCTGCGGGCCGATTATTGAAACTGATAGACAAAGCGATAGACAAAAAGACAGGGAGTATAGAGCGATCCTATTGGTTGACATGATTGGTTCTTATAGACTAAGGAAGAAAATGATGGAGTAACTGTTAGGTTTCTCGTGGGTTGCCGTTAGTTAGTCCATTACCTACCTCCTATGTCCATTGCCACCACCCGCTTCCACCAATAGGATCCCTCCAAATCCCTTTTGTCGTCTTTGTCTATGGCTTTGTCTATCAGTTTCAATAATCGGCCCGCTGGTAAAAAACCTTTCCGTAAGTCCACAGCCAATTGTTGACACAAACAGTAACTTTTGCGTCTTTGTTAAACCGCTTGCCACCAAGATACTGTTTTTTTAACTCCAGAAAAAGATGAAAATCACTCATTACTAAGAGTAACTACTCGTAACTCTCGCAGAAGTTACTGTTTGTGTCAAAAACTGGCTGCGGGCTAACGGGAAAGACTTTTACGAGTTAAAAAAGTCACTGCACCGCATGTAAAAATGCTCGGATTAGGCAGGTGACTAACGTCAAGAAGTAATGTAAAGAGTATCCAATCAGTTTCACAACTTCTGTGCCAAACCAATAAATTGGTTTTACTTCTTCACGGACTTACGCTTTCGTTCTATTGAACCCTACAGGGTGGACGGCGTGCGGGGTTGATGGCTGTCATTTGTCCACGTTAAATCCTCGTTGCCATGTTTGAATGTTGACCGGTGGTGGGCTTGAAAAAAAGACTAGAAAGCCATTCGCTCTTTGAAACAAGTTTATTCATTAAAAATGACACACAACCATCAAATATAAAATATCACAAAAAGAAGACGCAAGAACGTCCATGCCGCCATGATGGCCGGCTCACGATTGAGGGTTGTTCGAACCACCGACAGCCCCAGCACTCCCAACGGTAAAAGTCGGCACGTTTGGACATAAGGTGGGCATGGAAAATCGGTCAATACTTCGCACAACGTATACAAAAAAAACTATAGCTTGTTAAAAAGCTGAAGATATGGTCGTCTTAAAGTCGGTCTGATCGCGTTTCTAAAATCAATAGTTCTAGATACGTTAAATGAGTAAATATACTTAAAAATCCACCCTCGTATAAGAATATTTTGGTGCTCAGTTTGGGTAAGCGTGATATATTTCAGTGATTAGTGGCGTGGCGTGAATGATCGATTATGTCCCATTTGAAGATACGGGAAAGTATCGACTATTAAGGTGTTCGTTGCGAACACTCTGTTTGTCGATCATTTTCCACGGGTTTATACATATGGCAGATCAGTCGATACATCGTAAAGCACGCCACGCCACTGACAGTGATACGGGGTAGTACGGGGTAGTACGGGGTAGTACGGGGTAGTACGTGTAGTTCGGTAGCACGAGGGAGATCAGCTCATCGTAAGGAAAAGGACGGACCTACTAAATGTGACGATCGACCGTTCCGCTTTTCAGATCAGCAGTTATGCTCAAGAGTGGGCCGAAAAATTGGCCTCGGAGGGAGGTCATCTGCAGCATCGTTTAAATGGAAAATACGGGGAAAATTTGTGGGCTGGTACTTTCTTACCCACAGGACATCAACCCGTTGATCACTTTTACGAGGAGGAGCAGTTATATATAAATGTTTACGGAGGTGAACCAGCCTCCAACGGTGCTGGTAAGCCGTAAAAAATATATTAGTCTCATGTCGTCAAGAACTCTGACTGAAGTCAGAAGCATTTAAAGTAGTAGGTCGAAAAACTGCGTAAATAGTAGGATTTTAGTTTGAGATAATCGCACACAAAATTATAGAGCTGTTAGTCTAATTTGACCGCGATAAGCAGAGAGGAACCAAGCCGTATCAGCTATCGCCATATTTCGCGGCGGTTTCATTTTTTGCAAGAGAACGTTCGTGGGTATTCCTTTGAAAATTTTAAGGAATTTGCTTCGTATGTATGCATAATTGCTTTTACGGCGCGCTAGGGCGCTATGTTATGCCTACCCACCACAGGAAGCTGACATCTCTCCATCTTTTCACGGATGCCCTCTACCCACCGTTTGGCTCCTCTCCGTCGCCTACCTGGGAGGACCCTCTCCAACACCTTCTTCGTCAACCTGGTATCAGCCATTCTCTGCACATGCCCATAACATACCAATTGCTTGGTCATGAAATCGTGCACAATGAAGATGTTGCATGTGTGAGGAATTTGCGATTTGACCGTTGATTCTTATGTAAAAGTTCGTGAGAAACACGATGGTGCCACTGGTTTTCTCTGAAATCAACTCCCAAGCTCAAAAAAAGCTCTCAAGTTGAGGCCAAAATGGAGGGGGTATCCCACCCTACCCTGAGAATCCACGTCTACATCAAGACAAACTCTCCATGCAAAGACAGGAAGCAAATACATTGACAGGGCTGCTACTTTATTTGGGGACTCCAAAACTGAAAACACGGCAACCCTGCTGATGTATTTGCTCCCTATCTTTGCATGAAGAGTTTGTTTTGATGTAGAGGTGGACTCTCAGGGTAGGGTGGGATATCCCCTCCATTTTGGCCTCAACTTGAGAGCTTTCTTTGAGCTTAAGAGTTGATTTCAGAAAAAACCAGTAGCACCATCGTGTTTCTCGCGAACTTTTACCTATGAATCAACAGTCGAATCGCAAATTCCTCACAAATGCAACATCTCCATTGTCCCCTCAACGCCCATTATCTCTCGGACAAGTTCATTCCTAAAATACGTCCTCTCCTGGAGATTCCAGCCGAGCTTCGCCAGAAATTCATTTCTGTCGCCGTGAGCATTTCGTGGATCCGCCCCTGCAACTACCACACTGCCACATTGCCACACTTCACTGCATGCCATAGGTGATTATAGGCTTGACAACCGAGTTATAAATCCTCTTTTTGCTGTCCTTGGAAATCCTTTGGTCCCAAAGAATCCCATTTAGCATGGCGATGGCTTGCCTTCCTCGACGATTACGGTCCTGAGTGGCCTGATCCAACTTCTCATCCGAAGTTAGCTTCACCCCCAGGTACTTGTATTGTTTGCAACTTTCTATACGACCATCCTCCAGGACCATGCTTTGCTGAGCACCCCCGACTGACATCTTTTTCGTCTTATACGGACACTAACCTTGCCCTGCCCCGCTTGCGGTACTCCTCAACCAACTTCCGGGTCATATATTCCGCGTCATCGTGATCTTGACTTATGACAAGACTTGGACCAAGACCTGAACCTGGTCAGTGGTCGTCAGCAAAGCATAGCGGGAACAGTGTTTCTTAGTCATTCAGAGGAACGCCCATTCCGGCACACTTTCTTTTCCATTCCTTCAGAAAGTGCTCTAGATATATCTTCAATAGAGTCGGTGATAGACAACACCCCTGCTTTGCATCGTATTATGCAAAAAATTCACTGAAATTTGCACAAAAATTTGCACAACCGTTTTCATGTAAAATATTAAACGGCCCAATTAAATTTTGCGATAGCGGATGTCGCTTGGTTCCTTTCTGCTTAACGCGGTCCAGTGGTAAGTGTTTTTTAATACGTTCGCTTCGCTTGAAAAGCGCGTATTTTTGAAGATAATCGATTTCAAGAGGTTGTCGTAAGTTGGGCAGTGAGTTTGGTCACTTTGGCTTCACCAGTGAAAAGTAGGCGGGAGAAGCCTCGTAAGACACGTACAAAAAAATGTTACTCCTCCCTTTGACTTTGAGAAAACCGAATAAGGCTCGTAAAGTTGTAAATGAACAGATTAAATCTTTAAAAAATTTACAGACGTATTTAAGGAAGAACGCTCAACTTAAGATACTTGTGGAAGATTCGAGCGTACCTTCGGTGCCGGAAACGAAGCTCGAAAATGTTTGCCGTTTAGGAAAACGCTCCATCACATCAAAATTTTGAATAAAATCGTGTTTTCTCCGAGTTTTTCCAAGGAACACACGATTTTCCGGAAAACTGATGAACGATGAAGACACACTAAAGTCATTTTCGGATTTAGAGGCTGAAAATACATAATGGTGCACCAGTGGCGTGGCGTGCTTTGCGATATATAGATTGTTAAGCCATTTAAACCTATGGAAAAGGATCGATAAACAGGATGTCCGCAGGAATAACAATCGATACATCACAATTCACGCCACGCCGGTAGTGACTTTGTTTTTTCCAATCACACAATGGTTTTCCGAAAAAAAATTATTTTTTTTTCTAAACGCGATTTTAAACCTAAAAATGTATACAAAAAACACCTACCCACAAGCACGGGTGGTAACATCCAATTTGGTCAAATCTTGACATGTATTCTTTTTTGTGAAATGGATCAACTTCTAGGGATGAGACTAATAACATCCCTCTAAAACACTCTCTCACGTTTCCTTTGTTATGTAATCCTAGAGTGTTATTTACACTTAATTAATGGTTTCTTTTTTGTGACGTTTTTTCATATAAAATGGGTCACTAAGCCTTACCTTTTTTGTTTGATATTCTGGAAGTACCGAGTGAGTAGATCACGTGGTGATTTATTTCGAATTTTCGGAACCAAAATCCCGGAAAAGCCCGCTTATAAAAGGTGCAAAGGACACGAGAGAATTTCAATCGCGCCGGAATGATGAGAAAATTACGGAAGTGATGTACTACGGCCGTCAAATTAGTATCTCTTTTTATTTTCCGCAGATGTTCGTTAAAATGAAACGTATTTCAATATGGAATTATTGCTTGTTAACTAAAGATGACAAGAATGAGATTTTATCCTTTGATTCTTAAGATACACAGTTTCTACTTTCCAATTCTTTTCTTATACAAGGAATAGGAGGACATTTGACGGAAGTCGTGAAAATCCTCGCCTCTGATTGGTGTCGGACGACATCATTCGGTTCGGCGTTGATCCGGGGCATTTAAAGTTTGCGGAAAAGTTGCGCTTTAGCAGCTGCGTCTTTCTCGATTTCTGAGTTGATTTTTCGCGGGTCTGAAGTTCGCACCGTGCTCTACGCGTCATTTTCCCTCATAGGGAAATAATCAGGAAGCTACGTATTCACGAGTCAAAATTTCTTCATGGCTTAGTGACCCATTGTCATACATGGAGAAAAAAAAGGGGGTGTTTGCATCTTGAGGATTGTGTACCCTGCGACGTAGGTCGCAACAACCTGGTCAGCAAAATCCGGAATTCGAAGTATATAAAATGGACCATAACGTCCGATTTTTTTGCTTAAATCAACTCATGATATAATTTCAAGCACCTTACGTAGAATGCATTTTCTCCATAAACTACACCATTTCCAAGAAAATCGATGATAGAAGTCGCGGTACCGACATATGTCATCAAAAAAATTCCAAGATGCCCGAAATGCCAACACCTCCTTTTTTTTCTCTATGATTGTCATAGACATTTCTTCCTTTTTCAGATCAATGTAAATTGGACGTATTTCTACCAAACAGACCTATGAGCAGGTGAGAAATATGGGGTGTGCTCTAGAGAGCTGCATAAGAAACAATGTAAAAGTGGGCGTGATTCCTTTTGAAGAATTGGAAAAGCGGGATTTTACATTCTATCAAACAGACCTATGTGCCAACTGAATGCGGGATATATGAGCCGCGGGCATGGCAAGAGAGCGTTGTGGACAGGGCTCATGAGTTAAAGACGCCCACGAACGACCGACCGCGGTGCGGCGGCAGCTTCGTCGCCGCTGACGTCACTGGCGCTTTATTATTCTCATTCATTCTGACGCAAAGAGAACTAACGAGCACACCCCATATTTCTCATCTCCACATAGGTCTGTTTGGTAGAAATACGTCCAATTGTGAGCTCTTAGTTTACCTTCTTTTCCCGTGTGCTTCCCACCAGGACATTTTACCCAGCTAGTGTGGCGCAATAGCAAAAAGCTCGGAGTGGGATTGGCGCAAAGTCCCGGAGGCAAGTGGGTCGTCGTCTTCAACTACGATCCAAGAGGCAACACCAACATGGATGGCGGTTATGAACAGAATGTCTTGGCCCCAACCGAGAAGGCGGATAACCCACCTACTGCCAAGATAAAACCCAAAAAAAACCAAGCCGTCGGCTCTGCATTTCCCGACGGCCTCATCCCCGCCCAGTTCTTCGAGGAGATGAGGCCGCCTTGGGCTGGATCCCAGAGGAGTGGTAAGTCGAAATCGAGACCCAACTTTGGATACTCCGCTTCGGGTCTCCGCAAAAGTAGGGTCGGCTCCAAAAGCTTCAAAGACGTGGCCGTGAGCGCCACGAGATCCGTCAAGAGGTTGGCTAGCAAAGTTTGCGGCAGCGGCAGGAAGAGCAAAAAGGAGAGGAGCCACGACTTTTCGAGCTTCATATCGCAAGATGGAGAGTTCCCGTTCCCGTTCCCGCAGCCGGCCTTTCCCATCCGCGGGCCAGGCTCATTCTCGTCGTCCATGGGCGGACCAGACCTTTTCTCTAGACCTCAGCTTGGAGGACCACTCCTGCTCCCTAGCCGCACGCGGCCTTAGACCAAAATCCAGCCAGGGGAGGATATTTTCTGAGAATTCCCAGCTTTGGCGGAAAGCATTCTGAGTATGATCGAAATACAATGTTTTGAAATTAAACCACCTGGTAGATTGTTTTTGAAATATTGAAAGTTCTATGTTCTGTAACAATTTGATAAATATGACCTAAAAGTAATAAAAGAAGTGATCGAAAATTCAGTCTCGTTTATGGTATTTAGTCCATGATAGTGAAGTGGGGCTTTTGACGAAGCGAATGCAAGATACACTGAAAAAAAGTAGCTTGGATCAACATGATTCTTGAATTTGCCGCCAAGAATTTTTTTTTTCTTGCTTTAAGCTGACTTTTTCTTAATACAAGAAAAATAATGCTTGGGTTAAGCAAGATAGTAGCTTATATTAACCAGAAAAATTCTTGATTTAAGAAGAAATACTTCTTGGCGGCAAATTGAAGATTCTTTTTTTTTCCGGTGTATGTTGAGGGCAACCGAAATTAATTTCTGGCGGCGATCTGCAGGCATCTCGAGACGGGACCGCGTCCGAAATGTTCAGGCACTTTTAGTGTGGTATGTGGTATGCACATGTGCAATGAATGTGTGAGGAGAAGTTGTCCGAACAAGTTTTGGATTGGATGCTGATGCTACCCGGGAAAAGGCAACGGGGACGTCCCACTAAGGGATGGTGGCAGGGCGTTGTCGAAGAGGTGTTGCGTGGTCAGTTGACCGATAAAACCTTAGGGAAGAAAGGTACATGAGGCGTTTGGGTGTCGCAGAACGCTACAGTGCGTTTTAGGAGCTACTTTTATGTATGTGTGAGTTTCAGTCTCTAGTTGAATCATAAAGAAATAGCCTAGGATGCTGAATTTCTATAAATAAAATAACTAACTACCTAACTAACTAACTAACTAACTAACTAACTAACTAACTAACTAACTAACTAACTAACTAACTAACTAACTAACTAACTAACTAACTAACTAACTAACTAACTAACTAACTAACTAAGAAATGTTCGTGCCGAAAATCATGTAGCGATGGCTAAAGTGCGGAACCGCGTACTTCCATGGCGGTGTTTCAAACTTTCTGCTCCTATTTTATTTTTTCAAAGAGGAAAAAGCCAACTTTACAGATTAAAGTTATAGGTACCTATTGAATATTCTGCTGATGAAGAAGAAAATCAAGGAAGTTTTTAAGTAATTACGTTACCAAGTTTTCCGAGGAAAAAATAAAATATGACAGAAACTCTGCAACGTTGCATACGGAGATACGTGATTTCGCACTTTGGCCATCGATATCTTCCAAAATCTTATCATAAGGCTAAAGGTGTTGTTTCCACCGATGTTTAGATTTATTGAGATCAGTTGAAATTAAGGTACAGTACTTTTAATTTTATACGAGGATCACCCAATCGGTAAGTTTCGCTATTTTTTCTTACGCGAATGTTATAGATGGAGCGACATTTTAAAAATTTTGTCATTGATCATACTTCCAGCTTTCAATCGTTCTATAGTTTTTTTCATGCCCACGGATAGCAGATACTCAACTTTATCTGTACCAAACTCCTCTCGCCGCGGGTCCGATTTCTCCTTTAGGTGGCATAATCGGGTAAAAAAACTATGGCAACCTTTTTCGTGAGATATCGTTTATCGATTATCGTTACTCGTTTACAATTTACCATATGGTTAGACAATAAACGCAGAAAATTCTACCAAGTCCTTGAAAAGCTACCACAAATTCAGCCCTCACTCGGCAGGAGACCCTTAACCAGATTTTTCGGACAAATTTTCCAACATCTACCAGGGCCGGATTTACTTACTTGCCATGTATTTTGCCGCCCCCCTCTCATTCATTTTGAAACATCAATAAAAACCATCAAGTGAACGTGCCGGAGGGGGAGGGGTGCGTAAGACGCGTTTACTCGTGTTGGACACATTTTTGCGAAAGCCCTGTCAACACTACTGGCAAAAGTTCACGGAACTTGGCGCGAAAGTTAAGTCCCGTAAACCTATCTCTGTGCGGTCAAGGCCTTCCATTTGTATGAAATGAACGAAAAAATTATGAAAGAACAAACATAAATGTGATTTGGTAAGTTTAACTTCCGCCGCCGCGCCGCGCTGACTGCACTGTGTTTGGCGCAATGCGTGAAGTATTCAAGCAGTCTTGTAGGCGCTATGCGTTTCACGCCGCTCGCTGCTCACCGCAGCGACCGCGCTGTCTTTGACGCAATGCGTGACGTATTCATGCAGTCTTGTAGGCGCTAATATGTCTTACCGTTGCCTACGAGAATGGAGAGGCCGTAACTACTCGGTTTCGTGACGTCAAACTAGTAGAGTAATCGCCGTGTTAACCAATCAGAGCCGCCGTCGATCGGCCGAAGTTGCATGAGCGGCGCGTTTGAATTTTAGAGGGGTAACGATTTTCGGTATTTCGTCGTGTTTAGCTTTTATTTCCTCAATTATCAGACAATGTAATTTATGAACTAGGCAGTTTTCTGATGTGAAATTTTATCTTCTTTCAAAATGGTTCTTATGAATTTTTGCATCAGATCAACCCCTGAAAAGATATTAGCACAAAAGGAACATGTGCCATGCGTTCTCCCATAAGAACACATGTTAAATCGCAGCCGAGTTTCATCTACTAGCGTGACGTCACAGAATCGTAGTTACGGCCTCTCTATTCTCGTAGGCAACGGTCTTACATGCCGACCGCCGCGCCGAGGGTTTCTCCTTTTCATCTCTAGTTCTCGTCATCATTGCTCTCTGCGCCGCGCCGTTCCAGGCCAAATTCCAAGTTCGGTTTCTCTCTTAGTCTTGACTCCACTATTTGAAGGTGCTGTCTAATGTATCACAGAAAAACGACAAAATTAGGGATTTACTCTCAGGAAATGAGAGATTTTATCACCTTTTCTCGTTTGTAATTTTTTTTCTGAATCCGATTTTTCTTTATAGCGTACACTACGTTTAAAAAAATTGCAAAATTTGCCGCCATGGGCCGCGGCCCATGTGGCCACCCCCTACCTAAATCCGGCCCTGACATCTACCGCATTCTCTGAACTTTATTCCCGGTGATTTTTACTTTTTTCCTCAACTCAACTCGCATATTGTCGGGACACTGCGTCAGTGGCGACGATGAGGTCATGAAACGCATTAACATTTAGCACCAAAATCTGAGAACAGAGTTCTGTACTAATGGGATCAAAAAACTTTTACCACGCTAACCACTCTACGAAAAGTACGTGGGGAAAGAAAAAAACTACGTAGGAAAGTGGCACCAAGCTCTTTTTTTTTTTTTTTGCCTTTCTCTGACAAGGGGAACCTCCCACGCTGCCGCCTCTTCGGATGAATCCATTCTACCAATGTCTTTTTTGTTTTTTCCCATGAAATGCATAGTAAAACTCTTAAATTCAACACTGAAGGAGGCTGTTTCCAAAAATGTAGCTCAAGTAGAGCGCTTTCGAAGGTTCTGAAATTGATTAGAATATTTAAGAATTCAACTTTGCTGAAAGTTGTAAACTCTCGGAAAATGTAGATATTCTCCACCAGTTGCACCTTCTAAAAAAATGGCCAGTGTTAAACGGGTGCTTTAGGATATTTTTCAAGCACACGAAAAACCCCGAGGAGTAATTTTGATTTCCTGAGTCCTGAGGCTCCTTCCGAAATTAGATCATCAACTTGAGTTGAAATCGCATTTTCGGGCGATTAGGCGGGTCCTGTAACTATGAATGCGTGCGGCTGAACATTTTCTGTGTTCACAACTCTTAGCATAACTTCGCGAGGTTAGCACGGTTTTTATCGAACCATTTTTCAAATACTCTTTTAAGCGCTGAGCCGATAGGGAGCGCTTATTGAACAACCTGTCTATAGAATTCCATAGAGTACATAGAGTCGTAATGTAAATGGGAGCGCTGGCGCCATGTTCTGCTCGACGAGTTCTGAGCCCGGTGTGCGCCGAGTTCGGGTCACTTTTTCGATACAAGTTCGATCCAAGATGGCGGTGCGGAATACGTGGTGATCCCTATCTTCTTTGCTTACATCGAATGGCCGGGTACCCGTGTATCGCAAACAATCGATTATGTATCGAAAAAGTGACCCGGCGTCACACAGGAGTCTCGAAATTCGGGACCTGGAAAATGCTTAAAACTGGCGCCAGCTCACCCACTTACATTACGACTCTATGTACGTACATACATACATAGAGTACTCTATGTAGAATTGTAGTATACTAGAGGCAATGTTATCAAATGGTGTAGCAGCTCATTCGGATCCCACCGGATAGGGGCCTCGCGTATTTAGAATAGATTATGATACCTACTTTTGAGAGATTTATGATCTTACTTTTATTTAATGCTTCTGATATCAAACCACGGAGGACGATAATTTTTTTCTATAATTTATTCGTTTAACGGTAGGGTATTTTTCTAAAAATTGATCTGTTTACATTTTCATGGAGGCAAATTCTTTTCTCATCGGTGCTTATCATTTTCGGTGAAATTAAAAACCCGCCTATACTTAGAAAATGTCATTACGGTAATATCAGAGACAGGTAATATGCTGTCAAAGCAAAAATTAATACGACTCATCAGCTAAGTTCTTTTTAGATTTTTTCATAACCTCCGGTGCCCCATCAATTAATAAAAACTGTATTTATTACTTCGAACACAGACTGACAGCTGAGCGCTTCTCTGATACGAACGTATTAGACTTGCCCGCTTGCTCTATAGTTCAATGTAGAAGATTCGCAATTATTATGGTTATTCGCACTCAGTTGTTAATCACGTTTTTTGCCAATCAAAGTGGCACGCGAGGCACTAAGGCTTGCTGCGACGGATCTGAAAATTTTACCACGAATACAATTATTTGCGTGTTTTCTAGTGCGTGATAAGCACCGTCTCCCCCCCCCCCCCCCCC